TTTTTTTTTTTTTTTTTTTCCCTCTATTTTTTGGAGTACCTTGTGTAGGAAACGTTTCGTATTTTGTGGGTGTGAGCTCATAGACGTGGGGGTGGGGGTTATGGGTAGAGGTGTCAGGTCGGGGAGGGGCTTAGTGCTGTATGTGTCAGGGGGTGGTGCTTTTGTGCGTGTATCGCCTGCTTTCGTTTGAAATAGTGCCTTCGCCCGATTGTGGTAATTTTCTTTTTTTCTTTTTTTCGAGTTGAGTAGTGTGTGTCTGTCTTGCTGTTTGTGACCTTTGTTTGTGTTTGCTTCGAAAGTTTGTATCTGAGGTTGTCCTGCAGGCTTGTATGTATGTGTGTGTGTGTGTGTGTGTTTGTTTCTGTATGTGCAGGTATGTTTTTGCAGTCTGTATATTTGTTTTAGTTCTTTTATACGTCTGTGTGTGTGTGTGTGTGTGTGTGTGTGTGTGTGAGAGAGAGAGAGAGAGAGAGAGAGAGAGAGTTGGTATCCTCTTTCACGAGGTCAAGCAAACAAATATGGTTCGAGCGAGAGAAACTTCGCGTCTGCTCTCTCTGGCCAAACCTTTTTGCGCTTCAGAGTGAGCGAGAGAGGGAGCGGGCTACACACACACACACACACACACACACACAAGGGGAATTGAGTGGTAATCTTCATTCTCTTCTATAAACCCAGTTAAAGCCCTCACCTGTACATCTTTTTATGGTTTGACTGAGTATACTATCTGCATCCCTATTGATTTTATGTTTGACATTTTGAACTTAAATCATAATTAGTAAAGAAGTGCATGCGCAATCTTAGTTTTATTTTTTTTAATTGTTTGAATTCAGATTGAGAAAGGGTTTTGCATTGGGGAAAGGGGGGAGGAAGGTGGTTTTGCTTGTGATTGTCCGGGTCAACCAAGAGTTGAGCTTAGTTTCTAAGTTGAATGACCCAATGCTATGTTTATTTTTGAATGCCCGGAGGACCAGACTTTGTTCCTAAGTTGGATGATATGTTGGCGTTCGCGCGAACAGCTCACGAACATGTTCGGGCGAATATATATTTTTTTCATAAAAAAAATATATATATATATATATTATTTTTTAGGTGTTTGATTTTTAACTCGTGATTGACTAGGAATTTGAACATGACTCCAAGGCAAAAGTTGCTTGTATTGTTATTTTACATAACATATAGTTTTTTCATATTTTTCTCATGACGTTTTTTTTTTTTTAATATTTTTTATTTTCGCATTCGGAGGTTTTGGGGCATTTGTTCGCGTTCGCCTCCGAACGTGAACACGGTGCTAAGTAGTTTTTAAGTTGAATGGCTTGGTTGCCTTGATTTATTTTGGAATTTTTTGAGTGGGAATGGACTTTGTTTCTAAGTTGAATGACAGTCTCCTTATGTTTCTTTATTGTTTATGAAGAGGAAGTTTGAGCTTTGTTCCTAAGTTGGATGACTCAAACTCCTTTTTTTTTTTATTTAGAGGGAATCAAGCGAAGAACCAGACTTCGTTTCTAAATTGAATGGTTTGGTCTAGAGCCACACACATGTTGGAACCAGAGGAAAAATTTATCTATATTTTATTACTATTTTACTTATGAACAGGTTAGTCAGACTTTGTTTTTAAGTTGAATGGTTCAGTCATATGCTACCTTAAAAGACTAAGGGCAGAAAAATATATATAACTTGGCTACTTTAAACAACTCAGGGCGACCAGGCATTGTTTCTAAGTTGAATGGCCTAATCACATGCCCAAAGAAGAAAAAAGTAGTAGTGCTTTCTATTTGTGTATAACAATGGTTGAGCTAGACTTTGTTTCTAAGTTGAATGGTCTAGATTTACGCTTTATGTAAGATGGGTATAAGGGATAAATCATTGAGAGACTTTGAACTATTATTGACAAGGGTCAACCTTGGGACTGAATGAAAGTACTTACCATTGTGGTTTGGACTTTACATGTGCCTGAGTGACAACTTTACTTGGTCTGAATTTGAGTTTGATAGGTAGTTGCTTTAATTGCTCATCACGTGCTAGAGCTATAAGAATTAGGTCAATTCTTGCATTTTCTTAGCTATTTTTTTTCTTCTTAGATCAATTCTCGCATCTTCTGGGATCATTTCTTGCATGTGGTTTTGTATAAATTTTGAAAA